GTTTGGCACCACTCTGGTCATTGGGTTTGTGGAGGCTTTTGTGCAGAGCAGGACTGGGGTGCTACAGTGGGTCACACATTCAGCCAAGAGTGTGATGCAATCAAAAACCAGGCTACTGTTGGGTGCATTAGCAGGAGTGCTGGAGAGACGACCTGGGAGGTCGTTCTGCTCTTGTCTGGGAGACTTCAGCGGGAGCCTTGGCCCCAGCTCTGAGCCCCACACTTTCGGGAAGATGTGGACGTACTGGAGAGACCAGAGGGGAGCAAGAAAACAGAAAACAGGTTTGGAAAACAGCATAGGCGGCGGTCTGTCTTGAGAAAGTCAGGCTGTTCTACTGAGGGAGGGATCAGTTCTCTCGGTCCACAGGAAGCAGGACAAGAAGCAGTGGAGTTATCTGCAGGCATGTAACAGGAGGAAAACCTGGCCTGGGCCCAGAAAGCCCCCTCCCCGGGTAGGCACCGCGCTGGCGCTCTGGAAGGCGCTGTCTGCTCCCCGGTGTGGTCCGATGCGGATTTACGGACCCGCCCCCACACCGCTCTGCCTGAAGCGCTCCCCTACGGAGACAGAGGCCCGGTTTGAAGCTGGGAGCTCAGGGCGAGCCCCACAGGCAGCATCCCCTCTAGGGCTGCCGAGTGCTCCCAAGAGCCTCCTGGAGGATCAAACACTCCGCTCGCTGAGCGTCCGGAGCAGTGAGAGCCGGAATAGAATTTCCCGGGATTCAACCTGGAATGGAGGATCAATGGGGGCAGGGATCCATCAGCTGCAGCTAAATCGCCGGGGCTGATGTCGCCCAACCTGGGTCCATGCCCAGATCCCTCGCTTTTTGTCTGGCTTCCAGGGTGGCAGCCGTGGCTGAGCGAGCTGTCCCCGCCCCCCTGCCCGGGCCGGGCTTGGAGAATGGGAATGAAGGGACTGAAATCGGCAATTTGCAATGAGGCCGGATTGATGGATACATGGGGGGAGGGGTATTTTGGTCAGGCCCCCTTCCTTGTCCTGGGCCTCGGAGCCGAGCTGGGATCAGGCCAGATGGAGGGACCCAGGTAACGTTGGCGCCTCCGCTGACTCTGGCTAAATCCCAGACATCCAGACGTGAGACGAGGCTTTTCTGCCCCCCTCCCTGCTGCTCTTCCTCCTCCTCCCGCGCGCTGTGTCTCTTGGAGACGTGTGGAGCCCAGTCACCTGTTCTGTGGGTGCCTGCCCTGGCGCTTGCAGGAACCAGGTTCATCGGCAATTCCAGCTCGTGCTGATGGTGCTGCCAGGAACGCGTCCGACCAAACCATCTGGCCTGCTTGGCTCGGTCTCGCTGTGGCTGCTCGG